GCAGCAGGACAACTTGTAGATGAGAAAAGGCAAGCAAAACATTTTCAGTAACCGACATGCTTGCTAGCTTTTTTTGTGGGCACATTTGGGCCAAAGTCAATTGTCCTCCCTTTAGATCCCTCCACAATCCCATAAGCAAGCCCAGATACTCACTTTTCTTCTGTAGTCTCTCTCAAAATGGCAACAAGTGGTATCACTTCCTGCTACCATTTTGAGAGGGACTTCAGAAGAAAATTGAGGAATTTGGGAATAGTGAGAGTTCTGGGTGCTTATAGGGTTTGGGTGGGAGTATTTTTATGTACATTTCTTCATTTAGGGGGCTTTCTGTATGATGTTTTAAAGGGGGGTTGGGGGACACAAAAGTGGGGTCCAGGGTCCACATACTGTCCATGGGTTGCTTTATGTATCCATGTGCTTCAGCAATTACATCATGTTTAGTTGTCTGTGCATCACACATGACACAGCGACATTTCCCCCCTACATTGCTGCTGGGTCTCACTCTTGGCTCTTGGGGAGTTTCACCCCAGACCCAGTAATACTGACGCCAGGCTCATGAGCCAAAATACCGGCACTCCACCTTGTTCCAAAGGGCAGCCACTGGCTCCCTTCCCAGTCTCATCACCTCGGTCCTAGCCTTTGGTGTCCCGGTGCTTCACAAATGGAACGCGCATAGAGACACCTTTGTGCTGAGCTGCAGAGCATTGGCACCAGCAGAGAATGGGTGGAGATGGGTGCCTAGACTTTACAGCCAACAAGCGTATAAAAATCAAACATTGCACTCGTCTAGTGCCACTCGCCTTGAGATATGTCTCCCTCTCCGAGACTTGGGCACAGTAATTCTGTGAAATTTCAGCTGGCACAGTGACATCTGGCAACCATTGGGTAAGTGAGCGAGCCGCAAGCAAATAAATATGCAGGTCCCTCCACACCTTACATTTCTGGCATCTCTAGTTAAGAGGATAAAGTAAGGAGTTGGTGGGAAATATCTCTGCCCAAGAACTAGAAAAGCAACTTCTACACAAAATAGAGCACTCCGACCATTAGTTTGGTTCTCCTGTTAGCTTCAGATTCAGCTCCCAGAATCCCTGACAATTGCTCAGGCTGGTGGAGGCTTATGGGAGTTGATGCCTAAATACTAAAACTGCTCTGGTAGACCAATACTGCCTAAGTGACATAGGGAAAGGAGCTGTAGTTGTGTTTCCACGAGTACACTGACTCTGCCTTCAAAGTTCACCAATCATTGCCTATTGATGAGTTTATCAAATTTTTCTTTCCAACCACCACTTTGATTTTTACCTTTTTCAGCCCATGTATACAGCATAAGGTTATTGAATCCATGGGCTTCTGTACATGACTGCTGCTGGTGTGTGCTTTAAGCTTGGTGGATCATTTATTGTTCAGATCTAGTCTATAGAGCACTGTGCTCCTCCAGGTGTTCTGGACTTCAGCTCTCACAGTTCCTAACATCTGAAAAGCTGGCTGGGATTTCTGGGAGCTGAAGTCCAAAACACCTGGAGGAGCAGAGTTTCAGAAACACTGCTGTAGGGAATATTGGTTGTGTCAATATCATTGATGCAATGTGATCAAAAGGAATGATCATAAACTGCTGGAAGTTAACTGTACCCTCAATTTCATGACAAAGTAGTGAGTAACTCACTTTTGTTGAATGGACTTCAAATGAAAAGATAGCCTTAGCTGATATTCTTAAAACAGACAATCCTTATAATGCAGGGATCCTATCTAAGGTATTGAGGAACAGCTCTCTGTTCTTTGACATTTTACAGAACAAAATCAGGTTCTTTGCAAGCAAACAACATCACTGTTCAGTCAAGATGGCAAAAGTAATGAGGAAGAACAAGCTAATAGGAGCTGCCCTGGTTGCCTGTGCTGAGCCTACTGAGAAGGACAATGCTCCATCCTCTCCTCTCCCCCCTTGAGTTGAATGCAAACTACAGTGTTCCCTTGCTACTTGACGGTTGGCTTTTCACAGACTCACTGTTTTGCGGGTTTTTGCCTCTTAGTTTATGAATGGTTGCCGTTGCCCAGAGCGGTGTTCTAATCTCACCTCCTGGCAATGATGGAGTATGGAAGAGAGTTTCACAGTCAATCAAGAGAGACTGCAAAGCAAAGCAGAGATAGCTAGCAAAAAAAAAAAAAAAAAAGTGTGCTGTGCCTTTAAATCTCTGCTCACTTCTGCCTCACCCCCAGGACTCGATATAAATATATACCATCCCTATTTTGTGGATTTTCACTTTTCGCGGGTGATCCTGGAACGTAACACCTGCAATAAGTTGAACTAAGTTTGCGGCAACTGAAGTAGACTTTGAACAAATTGGGAAGGTGGAAAGGGAAGACAGAAGCTGTGACATTTTAAAAGCAGCTGAAAAAACACGATGGCAGGGAATGAATCAAGGCAGTCCCTGGCAAATCAGGACAGTTGGAGGTCATGCAATTGATATTTTAGGACCAATCACATGCATATGACTTGGAGGATTGTTGAATTTCCATGTGGAATGCCAAAATTGTGTGGGGCATGCATATGCATTTAAACTTTTCCAGGGTATTTTCCAGGGTATGAAATGTTGCCTAAAATACCTTGAAAGTGCCAGTTCCTGTCAGATCTTGAAAGCTAAGCTGGATCAGGTCTGGTTAGTACTTGGAAGGCAGACTGCTAGGGAACACTTTAGAGGAAGGCAATGGCAAAACCACCTCTGAGTACTCTTTGCCTCAGAATGCCCCATGAAATTCATGGGGTTATTACTACATGACTTGAAGGCACGTACTTTACTTACATTATATATTTACTTACAGTATATAAAAATATACTGGACTTGCAAACCATGCGCTCAGAAGAGAAACTTTGTGGGGCAAGACTTTAACTTTTTTGAGGGGAATTCATCACAGCAGAATTTGTGACTTAGATATAGGGAAGGTTATAAATGTCCCTTAATCCACAGTAGTTGTTCACAACTTATATATTTCAATAACCTCCATTTCTGAAATACCAGGATTGTGCTGATAAAGGATGAGAGACATTTCAACAGTCTCAGGAGAACCTCAATCTTTTAGGAAAAAGAAAACCCTAGAAAGGAGACAATGCCTCAAAGAGCCAAATTTACACTGTCTGTGATCAGAGTCTGCAGAATACCATTGGAAAGTGAGGAGGAGGAGGAGGAAATAGGCTGGCAAAGGGAATGGAGTATATTTTCAACACACTGTAGTATTTACAGCCGGGCCCATTTATTCTGAATCCATCCTTGGCATCTTCTAAGTGGCATTAAAATTGGATAAACCAAGGCTGAACCAAACCTCTGGTAGATATAGCACCATGTTCCCTTGGCATGGCTAAAGCATTAAATTGGCTTTTAAACCAAGCTGAAAAGCTGGCAGGCAGATAGCAGGCCAACAAAGAAGCTTGTCACTTAAATACAATTTCCCTTCTGGAATATGATGCAATAGAGTCAATATTTTGTTAGTGAGCGAAAGCAAGTCCCAATAAGGTAGTGGCCAAGGGCATCAGCTGTTAGCTAAACGCCTCTTGTTCTGATCTCCAAACAGTTGGCTAGCTGGCCTTATCCAAACCCTTCTCATTTGGGTTGATATGAGTTTTCTGGGCTGTATGGCCATGTTCTAGAAGCATTCTCTCCTGACATTTCGCCTGCATCTATGTCAAGCATCCTCAGAGGATGCAGGCGAAACGTCAGGAGAGAATGCCTCTAGAACATGGCCATATAGCCCAAAAAAACCTACAACAACCCAGTGATTCCGGCCATGAAAGCCTTTGACAATACAGTGAAGTTTTTTTTCTAAAATAAAAAATATTGGAGGAATAAATGGGAAATGTTTTTAGAATTTTACCAAAACACTAGTCAATCCTTCACATTTGTGGAATTTATTATTTGCTGCTTTGATTCATATGTTCCCTCTAGAAATCTCTAGCTCCACCAGCACAACTCTCTGGTCCATTTCTGGCAGCAGTTGACCATACAGTTGTACTAGAGGACCTAGAGCAGTGGTTCTCAACCTGTGGGTCCCCAGATGTTTTGGCCTACAACTCCCAGAAATCCCAGCCAGTTTACCAGCTGTTAGGATTTCTGGGAGTTGAAGGCCAAAACATCTGGGGACCCACAGGTTGAGAACCACTGACCTAGAGATTCGTAGAGACCACACACCTTTAGTGCCTCCAGTGTGATTCTTGGTCACTTTCTGGTGGATACTCTCCACTTGACTTGCATCATTCACAACAAAGCCCAATTTATATGGTTATTGGAGATCATAGGATCTCCAGTCCAACATGACTGGGTCATAACCCAACAAAGATTGTACTGAGGCATAAAAATTGGCTTTTTAATAACAAGAGACAGAAAGATAATGGTTCACACTTGGCATTTTCTAACATGGACGCTGGATATCTTTCACCCCTGGACTTTCTATAGGGACCCTTTGATGTAAGAAAACCACTCTGCACATGTTTAGAGGGACTACCATTTCTCTTCCTGCTTCTTATGTTCCTTGACTCTAATTTTTTTTATTAGCCTGCTTGTGTTTTCTCATATAAATGGAAAAATTATAGGGAGATTTTCTCTTATTTGTTACATTATGGTAGCATCAATGATAAAAACTTGTGTCATGCTAAAATAACAATTAATGTATAAATGTTTTTAATTTTAATTTATTTAATCAGCGGGACTTTTGCTGAAAAAAAATGCCACTTTCATTGGCCTCATTTAGCTTAGATCCTACATTGCTTGTTGCATAAGACTAGGCTGGATCTGGAGATATCCAATGAATTCAATGGGATTTGAGTTGAATCCCAGGAAGTTCAATGGGTCTGCTTTAAGTTAGGTTATATCCAGCTCTGATCCCTTTTTTAAGGACATGAGAAGTTGTCCATAATTATACTGCATCTTTGGGATGTTTGTAGTTTTCCTGCTCCTGCTCTTGAAGCGTCCACCTCCGATGGTTTTGTGATGTGTTTGTGTTCTCTCTTTTCTCTCCAGTCAGCTGCAAGAAGGGCAGGGACATCATGCGCAAACTGCCAGACCACCACCACGACCCTCTGGCGGAGGAACGCCAATGGCGACCCAGTGTGCAATGCCTGTGGGCTGTACTACAAGCTCCACAATGTAAGTGCGATGATCACTTTCTCATGAATGCCTCTGAGGTTAAATTAAACGCACAAGTGCAATGGCAAAATTGAATTAATTGCAGTGCACATCTGGGCAGCATCCCCTTTGGGCTCCCCAAATGCAACAATACTTCAATCCACCTCATTGAACTCTAATTCATCCTAAATGAAGTTTTGCTAATAGGTGTAAATTGGTGATGAGTATCACCTGGCCTGGGCGAAACTCATACCTCATCCTCCAGTCCTATTGCACCTTTTTCAGTTACATCAGAATTGGGTCTCAGAGTTTGGCTTTCGTATATATGGTACAAGTATCTGAGAGAGTTCCATCTCATAACCTGGTATAGCAATGTAAAGGTAGCCAAGGCATTACAGAAGGAACCTATCAAACAAGACTAGAATAGTGTCACATTGGATTATAGAACTGTAATGAATTGAAAAGACCTTTTAAGGACATTTTCACTCCTTGCTCCATTGGAATAATACCACTGGATGACTCAGGCAGTCACTAATTTGAATTGCTCTGCTTTGATGTCCCTTGTACTTTTTCCTATTTTTATGTCACACTTTCTGAGCTGCAGAAATTCCCATTTAAACCCCTTCCACAGCCATTTGAGGTTAAATGGGGGTAGCTATTCTAAATGCATTTAATAATTTCTGACTTAAGCATGGTTTAGCTACCCTCTCCTTGTTTCCCTGCTCAGTTTCCTCTCAACGGCGAGTTAAGGAAACACAGAAAAATCTCCCCAATGTCTGCTGTGTTTTCCATTATGCTTTTCTTGAGATGAAGAGATTATCTTTGCCATGGATTGAAACACACAAACACACACACACACACACACACACACAAATTCCCTCCTATGGTCTCTGTTCCATATGCTCCCAGGAAAACTGGGATACATGTAGCCAAGCAAATTATATTAATGAGTTTGTATATTTTTCATCATTAACAACTTCTGCCATCTAGACCACATTTTGATCTTGCTTGGTCATACATGGCCAATTTTTGTCTGTGAAATGTTGGAAGGTATACTGTTTTCTCATGGCAAAGGAAGGAGAACCCATGGTCTTCTGGATCTTTTTGGACTACATGTCCCAGCATTGATAGCCTTTTTTATGTTGGTGAAAGCTGCTGAGATGTTCAGTCTAATGGAAGCTGGAGGACAGAAGCGTTCTCACTTTTGTCATTAAAAGAAATAGGACTACATGAACAGCAAAACAAAGGAGTGCCACTCTTGTGAAACACATGATTCACCAGTTGAAAACCAGTTGAAAACCAGAGTTAATAGCTATTGGGATAGTCTCTGTACTGGCCTATGATGTCCCATAACTACTCAGCCAATTTCAGGCAAGTTCGAGTTTAGAATGAAACATATATTAAGAAACCACATCCTCTTGGTTTTAATTTCCTTTGCAAAAAAACAAAAAACAAAAACTCCCCATCATTATCTGGGTTAGATTGAGCAACTCCTCAACCTGGGGACTTCCAGCTGTCTTGGAGAACAGCATCCATTATCTGAGGCAGACATCACTCATTGGCTAGGGATGATAGAAACTGCAGTGTAACCCATTTGGAGAATGGAGGAAGCTGGAGATTTTTTTGGACTTCAGGTGTTTTGGATTTCAGTTCCCAGAATACCTGACCATTGAACAAGCTGATTAGTTAGGGTTCTGGTTGGTTCTGGTGCCACAGGTTGGACAGGCCTGAGTTAGAGCATGGAAAATAGTTTTTGGACACTAGTTACTCCAGTTACCATGGCCATGAGGAATTCTGGCCGATGGTGTCTCCCAAAAGTTACACTGCAAGGTTCTAATCTCTTACTCTAAATGCTGCAAAGTACAACATTAGTTTCTCCTTGATTTATTCAGAAATGAGGGAAAGGAGAGGAGTGGGTGAAATCTTGCTCTTCCCAGTTGGCTTAGCCAAAAGCAAACTTCTGAAGACTCCCATTTTGTGTGTTCTTCCTCATTAATATTAGATTGTTCAATGCTAATATGATGGTCTTGGGATGGGAAACAAGACAAACAACTTCAAATCTGGGTCACTTCAACAACAACAACCAAAACAACAACAACAATTATTTACATACCACCACAATCTCCCAAAAGGGACTCAGGGCAGCTTACAAGACACAGCAGTGCAGTATATAACATAAACAATACATGAGTGTAAAACAATATCACATAATATTATAAAACAACCACTATCAACACATAAAATAAAATAAAACAACACAATTTAAAATGCAAAACTATCATAGAATCATAGAATCAAAGAGTTGGAAGAGACCTCCTGGGCCATCCAGTCCAACCCCATTCTGCCAAGAAGCAGGAATATTGCATTCAAATCACCCCTGACAGATGGCCATCCAGCCTCTGTTTAAAAGCTTCCAAAGAAGGAGCCTCCACCACACTCCAGGGCAGAGAGTTCCACTGCTGAACGGCTCTCACAGTCAGGAAGTTCTTCCTCGTGTTCAGTTTTATCAGTAGTTAAAACTAGCTTCCATCAATTCAAACTAAAGTGCCAGAGTGTCAACCTCATATGGGCCCATTTCAGCCTACTCGAGGACAAAAGGCTGCTCAAAATCCATGTTTTTAGTCTGAGTCGGAAAGATTCAAGGGTGGGGGCGAATCTAATATCTTTCAGGAGGGTATTCCAGAACAACCCACTATTCAGACTTTAATTCATTAACTGAATAGACATTGCTATTCCATTTTTCAACTTGGCCACACTTTGCTAGGAGAAAGTCTGGGTCAGGTCTGGCCACCCTTGTTATGTTTGTCAAATGAGTGTTTGTTTTGGGAAAGCAGGGCTGTGTGATGCGATGACCCCACAAAAAAATTAATTGACTTGTTGTTTAGATTAACAGACCCCTGACTATGAAGAAGGAAGGCATCCAGACCCGAAACCGAAAAATGTCTAGCAAGTCGAAAAAGTGCAAAAAGGTCCACGACAGCTTGGACGATTTCCCCAAGAGCAGCTCCTTCAACCCGGCCGCCCTCTCGAGACACATGTCCTCCATCAGCCACATTTCGCCCTTCAGCCATTCGGGTCACATGCTCACCACGCCGACCCCGATGCACCCGCCTTCCAGCCTGTCGTTCGGACCTCACCACCCGTCCAGTATGGTCACCGCCATGGGCTAAGAGTGCGCCCGGGAGAGAGAGAGAAAGAAAGAAAGAGACTTCCCCGCTCGACTTGCTTTTCTTTAAAGTTCTCAAAAGGAGGGGTATGGTTTTTGATGGACTTGCCTTCGTTGCTGGCGAAGAGAGCATCTTTGGAACTTTCAAAGCCCTTGGGAAATGGATGGAGAATAATAATAATAATAATAATAATAATAATATACTAAGGAAGAGTAAAAAAAAGGAACAAAAAGGAGAAAATGTTAAAAGTTGAAGTCATTAAAATGAACAGTCTCAAGGAAAGGCAACTGTTTGCTGTATTCTCAAAGGTCTATGTGTTCTTCCCACCACTGATTTGGGATCCCATTTGTGAATAAACCATTCCGACACAAAGTCACTCTTGAACTGGGTTTCTAGTGCTGTGAAGATGACACAATCAGACACCCTGGCATCCTTGTTTCCCCCCCGAAATCCCCAGTCCCAAGCAGGTCGATGCAGAACACTGTATAACTTATATTGTAAGTAATCATGTACATTTTTGGAGAAGACTTTGACATCTGGTTCACTGTATAGAAAAAGAAAGAAAGAAGGAAAGAAAGAAAAAAGAAAGAAAGAAAGAAAGAGCTCGGAGGTTTTGGTCAAAGCACCACAAACGAAATGCTGAGATGAACACTTCACGGTACAATCCAAGAGGAATGAGGTCAAACCGGCAAATGGACAAACTGCCAGTTGTGGGTTTTTTTGGTTTTTATTTTGTTTTGTTTTGCTTCTCTCTCTTTCTCTTTCTCTCTTTCTCCACTTACTGGCTCAAGTTGTTTTGATGCATTAAAAATAAATTAATCCAAGTTGTAGGCAAATCATTCATTCCAGGTTATGGGCCTCTGAAATAAGGGGGATCTTTTTGGAACGGTTTCAGGGCAATTGATGTGACATTCTGCTTCTTGCCACGATGAGTTTGTCCGGGCCTTTACGCATTGTGAACAAGTTCTTGTAATTGTTGTTTGTATGTATAACTCAAAGCACCAAAATAAGACAAGATGTAGATTTATTTCATCCTATGATACAGACTGAATGGTTGTAAAAAATTTACTTACGGCTAGTGTTAAGAACTGCGCTTTTGGTTTTGTTTTCATATTTTTCCTCCTTTTTTTTGGAGAATAAACTAGATTAAATTCTGTTGATTTGATGTCGGTCTGTACTTTGGGAAGGATGGGAACTCTGGGACTTCAATCCAGTTGCTAGTATCAATTACAGTAAACTCATAGAATCACAGAGTTGGAAGAGACCTCATGGGCCATCCAGTCCAACCCCCTACCAAGAAGCAGGAACATTGCATTCAAAGCACCCCCAACAGATGGTCATCTAGCCTCTGTTTAAAAGCCTCCAAAGAAGGAGCCTCCGCCACACTCCGGGACAGAGAGTTCCCCTGCTGAACAGCTCTAACAGTCAGGAAGTTTTTCCCTAATGTTCCTAATGTTTTACTTCAACTCATTGACATAAAAGGTAAAGTAAAGGTAAAGGTTTCCCCTTGACTCTAATCATGTCCAACACTGGGGGGTGGTGCTCATCTCCATTTCTAAGCCAAAAAGCTGGCATTGTCCTAAGACACCTTCAAGGTCATGTAGCTGCCATGACTGCATGGAGTGCCATTACCTTTCCGTTGGAGCAGTACCTATTGATCTACTCACATTTGCATGTTTTCGAACTGCTAGGTTGGCAGAAGCTGGGGCTAACAGTGGGAATTCACCCCACTTCCCAGATTTGAACTGCTGACTTTTTGGTCAGCAAGTTCAGCAGCTCAGTAGTTTAACTTGCTGCACCACTGGGGGCACATTGAAGTATTGGGTTTATCTACCATATATACTCATGTATAAGTCAACCTCATATACAAGTTGAGGACAGGTTTGGATATGACCCATGGATAAGTTGAGGGTCATTCTGTGGAGAGGGGTTGCAGCCACCCTTGGCTACCAAAGCCATTTTCCCATCTAATTCCAAAAAGCCAGAGGTGGTGCCACCATAGTAAAGTAAAGGGAGTTGGGGCTTCTTGTAGGACTAAGCTCTTGCCTTTTCCCACTTTGCATAGAGGAGATGAGTCCTTTTTCAAGAAGTGCTCACTTTGCTCCATGGATAAGTCAACTCAGCTTTTTAGTTTATTTTTGAGTAGCATTTCTAGCCTTATAAATGACTATGTGTTAGTTTACCAATCAGCAGTTGGTAACCAATCTACTGTTACCTACTCTGGTTGGAACTATGCATTGGAGCTCGAATTCTCTATGCCAGGCATGGGCAAACGTCAGCCCTCCAGGTGTTTTGGACTTCAACTTCCATAATTCCGAAGAGCTAGTAGGCTGTTAGGAATTGTGGGAGTTGAAGTCCAAAACGCTTGGAGGGCTGAAGTTTGCCCATGCTTGCTCTGTGTGAATAGATTCAAGACAGCATTTGCTCCTAGGTATAAAAAATTCAGGGCATCATTAATTAATTAGTTAAGACCTGGGAAAACTGCTTCTTTAAAGGACCTAATTACAGTTACACTTCAAAGCAAAGACAATATAGTGATATGAGGGATGGATTAAGGCTGTGGAAGAGAAGGGTTCAAAAGCCTGCTTAGCCATGGAAACCCTTGGTGGCATATTCACTTTGGGCATATTCTCTTAGCTTGAGATGATGGCAGAGGCAAACCTTTTCTAAAGAAAGTTTGGCAAAAAAAAAAAAAAACCTTCTAGGAGAAGGTCACCAATCCTAGGAAAGGGTTGGATTCATCGTGAAGACACTTAATAGCACAACAATATCATTCTAAGCCATGAGTAGATAGTTATAGTTATAATTTTGTTAAAAAGTCTTCATTCTTACTTTCCAAACATGAAAAAAGGAATATTCTGAAACATTTATTTTGAGGTTAAAGATGCATATGAAACCAAAGTAGCCTAAGACAATGTTAAGTGCATACAACAAAGCATGATGCATGAACATGAGCCACCACATGGATTGCAGCCTTGTGATATTTCTTTCCCCATCATTTGAGGATGCCCATTAGTTATCCAAAATTTAATGTGTCAAGAATAATGGTCTTCTTTATGACCTTTGGTGGACCCTGACAAATTTCAGTGATGTAAGCTTTTCACATCTCCCTACAGCAGTGATTCTCAACCTGGGGTCCCCAGATGTTTTTGGCCTTCAACTCCCAGAAATCCTAACAGCTGGTAACCTGGCTGGGATTTCTGGGAGTTGTAGGCCAAAAACATCTGGGGACCCCAGGTTGAGAACCACTGCCCTACAGGGATATCACCAGATGCTTTGCTTTCTCCATCTCCCCAACTGGCTATGCCGAGTGAGCTTTGATGGAAATATGGTCCATCTGGAATAGTGACAGTAAATGACTCAGAATAGCATAGTAGCATGTTCAGAATGAGTAGTACCCAATGCTAAGTCATGCATATTGCAGTCTAAATGGCTATCTTAATGGTAAAACATCATAAGGCTATATTATTATTATTATTATTATTATTATTATTATTATTATTATTAATGACATTTCTATCCCACCTTTCTCACACTGGAGGGGACTCAAGGCGGCTTTACATACAAGTAACAATTCGATGCTCTAAAACACAATGTACACTTAAATAAAAATTAAAATAAAATTAAAAAGTACATTAAAACAATTAAACATTTTAGAAACAATACATTCAGAGTTAAACACATAATCCACGAGCGTAATCCGGGTCGTTCCAATGGTTATTGCACATTGTTCCAAGTCTATCTATTGCACAAGTTCTCTAAAGGGTTGGTTACAAAGCCAGGTTTTTACTCTCTTGCGGAAGGTCAGGAGGGGTTGATCTAATATCCCTGGGGAAGGAGTTCCATATCCGAGGGGCCACCACTGAGAAGGCCCTGTCTCTCGTCTCCGCCAATCACACCTGCAAGGGAGGTGGGACCGAGAGCAGGGTCTCCCCAGATGATCTTAAACTCCATGGTGGTTCATAAAGGGAGCTGTGTTTGGACAGATAAGCTGAGCTAGAACCATTTAAGGCTTTATAGGCTAAAGCCAGCACACTGAATTGTGCTTGGTAGCAGATTGGCAGCTAATGGAGCTGATGTAAAAAATGGCCAGTTGGTTGGCACATACTTCTAACAAACAATGCACTGATCAGAAGATAATGAAGAAAGTCACTTTCAGACATATTTCATACATTCTGTGCCCTATGGGTTAGTCCCACAACAATAGTAAATCCATTGTTGAATGGTGAATCAACATTGATGTCAGTCCTACTGATGACACAGATCTAATCTCTTTGGGACTCCTAAGAGAAATCTGGCCAATGAGTCAAATATGTAGGATCTGGAAGAGATTCCTCTTCATTTTACAATAACATTGCCTGCTTATGCATATTATTTTTATTATTATCAATGGAAGTGTGCCTCTTCAACTCACAGAAATGGCCTTCACGCATACAGCTCCATATTTTCGGTAGTGTTCACATAGTGTAATGAGTTGCATTGGTTAGGGTAGAATACGCTGCTATATTGCCATCTCTCCAACACACCAACCTGCATGGTGCCGACAATGAATGTTTGAAATGAAATAGAGCCTATTCAGAGATGACCGTGAGGGCCTTTGCACACCACACAATGATAGCAGTATGATTCCACTTTAACAGCTATGAATCCATTCTATGGAATCCTGGGATTTATAGTTTAGGGATGGAATTTAGTAGCTCATCCAACAAATACCCCAGGATTCTACAGGATGTTGCTACGATTCAAGTGGAATTACAGTGCGATCAATCTGTAAAGGACCTTTTGCAGAGTGTGAAAGGACCCCTTGATCCACTACCAGAATATGATGTGTACTTAGCTGAATTCCTAGAATGTTGGTGGATTAGGCCATCACTGCCTTCTTCCATTCATGTGAATAGGTATGGTCATGGTCAATGGTATAAGGCTTGCAATGTGCTATCATAGTTAGAGATTGGGTTCGAGTCCCCAATGTATCATGAAAATGACATTGTAACTTGAAGCCAATCACACCTGTCTCAGCCTGATTTCTTCTTGTGAGATCAACATGATCAGAAGGAGCACCAGATACAGTTAGACTCCTTATTCATGAGGGATACATTCCAAAAACCTGGAGGATAATGCAGACAGTACTGAATAACATTGCATTTTCAGACTGCAATTACCTAATTAAATATAAGGTAAAGGTAAA